CCTTGGTTACTAGGGGAATAACAAACTCCAGTACACAAGGGGGCAGTAGAGTTTTTTCTAGAGTTCTTCAGGGCTCATCCTTGAAACCAAAAACCTAAGGCCGAACAGAGTGGGTTTGGGTTTAAACAAAGACTATAGATACACAAAGACTCGCATATTTACATTAATTTGAACGAAATGGGAATGGTCCATATGGCTGCCACATGGAAGAAAGTCCCACCTCTGGTCAAAATAGGCAATAGTCTTTACAGCATGGGTCTCAAACTCGATTCCTGGAGGGCCGCAGCTCTGCACAGTTTTGCTCCAACCCTAATCAAACACAGCTGATCCAATGGCGTTTAAGACTACTACAGACTACTAATCAAGTGTGAGTTGGAGGTGGTTGGAGCTCAAATCTAGAGTCGTTGCCCTCCAAAAATGGAGTTTGAGACTTCTGTATAGTCTTAAGCCTGGTTTATACTTCTGCGTCAAGCGACCGGTATAACCCACGGCACAAGCAACACGCGTAGCTGTGCATTTATACTTCTGCGCGCTGTCTCTGTTGGTCTGCATTAACACTTCCAGGACGCTAGTTGGTAGTGAAGTGTTAATGAGTCTCTGTGTCGAGTTTCTTCACCTGTGTTTTGTTCTTTCTGAATGCTTCCGGGATGTACAAGTGGCTCAAACTCGCTCATTTTGAGGCAGAACCGGCGGTCGTGCAACAACTTTAACTATGAGGTAAACACAAAACAAAAGTTTCCATCCGGAGCTCCTTCACGGGACTCCACACTTGTAAACAATCGCTCCATCGGGGTCACACCATTCGCGCGACTCTCGGTCCCACTCAGACTTGTCAGCGCTACCAAGCCGACCAATCACAGAGCTTGCGCTACGCGTCAATGCGACATGTAGTTACATTTTTTGAGAGGTGCACGTCAGTAACGCTGAAGGCCACGACGTAGGACTATGCGTCAACACCGTAGCATGTGTTTGACGCAGAAGTATAAATCAGCCTTTATGGTTCTTTGGGGAAGGGATCTGCTTGTTCCAAGTGTGCCACATGCCTGCTTTTGAGTGAAGGTCCTCTTTGTTTGATCGGACCCTGGGTGGCTGGCTGCAGTACAAGTCATAAAGCCCGCCTCCTCTGTGTTAATGAACGAGCCCAAAATAAAAATGAAAAAATCATTAGACTTGCAATAAAGATAGTTTTGTCTATTAAGGCACTGGTTATCACGCTGATATAGGTTTAGGTCTTCATTTTTGTAAACAGTATGTTTTTAGCCAGTTATTTAATGCTATAAAAATGGGGTGTGTCATTATGATTGACAGTTGTGATTGACAGTTTCTTGAAGCAGACCGTTGGAGCTTCAGGAGGAGATTGAAATGTGTTTATATTAGATTTCTGTGTTATTTTACCATGATAAAATGAGTTGTTCAGCAGTAAACTATACTTTCTGACCTGGTGGAACACTGTTTATTCAGTAAGGTCAGGGCTTTATCGGGCTTTATTAGTTTGCTGATACATGCCTAGCCATGACAGGGAAAATACAGGTGATTGGATCATTATCTAGCAGTAATTCCCTTTATGGGTCTGAAATAATAATTAGGAACACAAAACTAATGTCAGCCGATCTCCACATTGATCTCCTGTAAAGCTATTTGAACTTGATTTAAAGGACTTTTTTAAGTGCTGGCATGTTATTGAGTTAATCTACTGAATTTGCTGTTATTTAGCCCTTCCCCTAAGCCCTACACCTTCAAGCTGAAGAGAATTAGGGGAAGAGCTAAGGGGTTGAATTGGGATTGGGCAATGATGACGTGTGCAGGTGTTGTAGTGGTGTCCCATTTCTTAGGGGTAAATTTTGAAGCCCTTCCCCTTCACACTCTGTTTCAAGGGCCAAGGAGGAGTAGGGGTACAAAAACAGAGTTGGGATTGGGTCTTAATTGCAAGTTAATCAAGAAGTATTTGAGATATTAGGAATACCCCATTCATTCAGATTGTACTTTGATATGGATGAACTGCCCTGATGCATTCCAAATATAAGTGTGTAAAGCGAGCCTTGTCAAATACGGTTTGAAATGTGTCCTCTGCTTTTAACCAGTCCAAGTGCACACACATATTTTAAGTAAGAGGAGTGAGAGCACACACACATAAACACACACTGTGAGCATACAGCCGGAGCAGTGGGCACCTCAGCTGGCTATCAAAAATGGAGAGAGTGTGAATCGAGGCCGGAAATCAAACCAGCAACCTTTTTCCTTACAAGCCAAACTCGCTATCTATTAGGTTACAACTGCCCCTTGAGTATATGGCCGGTTTAAAACTGTGATGTGCCTCAAACGTGGACCAGGTTCTGCATTGGTGGCCTTGGGTCTCAAGTCATTTAAAATCAATGTGAATTTTACCAATGCACCTAATAAGACTCAAAAAGTTATAGGATACAGTGATCTCAAGTGATTGACATTTCAGCACTCCAGAGCACCCGTTCATTTTGAGTACACTTTTTTTTCTAAAAGCAGATAGAAAAAGAACAGGTTTATAACATTGCACAGACATCCATCTTATAGAAATGAGATCCATCAGAAAAGCACTCACTTCATTACGCTGCGTGTTCAACCAGAGCATTTCTTTTTTGTGTGCAGAAGCCCTTCAACAAAGATGAGGTAAAATCCAACTGATTTATTAGGCTACTCATTTCTTTTTAATCAGGCTATCACGGTTGTTTTTCCAAACCACTGCTCACAATTGAACGCTGGACCCAGAAATAACATATTCAGAGATAGATTGTATCAGACAGGCGACAATAAGAGGTAATAATAAAGAAGTAAATGAATAAATTAATATAACTGCAGGTAGGCATGGGACGATAACCGTTTTCAAGGTATACTGCGGGGTGGAAAAGTCAAGGTTTTTAAAACCGCCAAAATTTTCTGCTCTACTGCTAATATAGTATATGTACGATTTTTTATTTACATTTTTTGTTTTGTGTTTAGAACAACAGTATCTCCAGAAGAAAATATATCCAAATTGCCGTTTTAAATTGTAAAGAAATCGGTGTTTCTGAAACTAATAAGGACAGCAGATAAAATATTTTGTGCTCAAAGGGGGAAAAGGTTTTAGTTTTTTACCCAGTCGTTTAAAAAGGGCATCTATTAGATCAGTAATCACATTAACGTCAAATGAAACCGTGATATTTTATCCAAGGTTATCATACCGTCAGAATCTTATACCGGCCCATGTCTTACTGCAGGTTATGCTCACATTGATGCTGTTTAAGTTTGAGTTCAGCTGGGTTTGAAAGTAAAGGCTGTGGGGTAAGTTTGGACTGGGTGTAAAAGTTGTTTTTCTTTTCGTAAAAATTTAATTAAAAAATTGTGCATGTCAGGTTGTGGCAAGCAATGCTTGTGTCAATTTGGGTCAGAAGCAAATTTTAGGACTCAGGAAACTCAAGTTCAGTCCTTAAACATTTTCAAGCAATCCTGAAGAATTACGTTTGATTTTCAGGTGTGTTTGTTTGAGGATCACGCTCCAGAACCAGAGTTCATTCTTGTTATAAGTTGCTAAACATATTGTTAAACACTGTTGTTTAGGTAGCTACTTATGTCCACATAGTTTAGATAGTATTATGAATTGCCTTCTTAGGATGCTTTCACACATGTAGATTGATTGTTTTGTTCCGAAACAGGGATTAAAATTGTTAAAATGTTTATTTTTGTTCTTGGTGCGCTTCGCTTTCACACGGCAACATTTTTAAATGGACCAAAAGAGCTAAAACAAGTGACGTGCGTGTAAACTCTCCTCACATTGGTCAGAGTTTCACCGTTTATTTTGCAGAGTCCCGTTCAGCTGTCATGCGTCCTTATTTAAATTTATGACGATGAGAGACATTATAAGCAAAAAAGCTGCATTTTAATTTTGAATAGTGACATGCAGACATCGTCACCAGATAGAAATCAGAAGTAAGACTCTCTCATACATAGCCGTTGGCATTATAGGCTTTACATTATAGAGGGTAATAACGGATAAACCTAGACTGCAGGTCGGTCATTTCGGTCAACGGATAAATAGCTCTCGTTGATAGTTCAGCATGCTTTCATTTTCGTATTTGACATGAAATGCACATTTACAGGTAGGAATGATGGCATCCTGCCCCACACATCATTCTCTCTTCATATAGTTGTATATGCCTATTACACAACCATAATACAGCCTGGTTCGTTAATTTATTGGATCATACTAGTTTCTCACTACAATCGATCCGCTTAAGAGTTCATTTCAATTGAGCCGAGACCACCTTATTCAGGCGATCTCGGACGAATTGTTTTAGCGTGGATCTGAGCATGATTGCTGGATTCACATATGCCAAACAAACTGGGGGAATGCACCAGGTTCCGAAACAAAAGTCTAGATGTGAAAGCACCCTTACTGTTATTCTGCTGCAAGCCAGTTTGCAAAATCAGTAATGCATAGCTACTTGTGTAATTTAATAATATGTCACGTCTTACTGGGTAATATGTAGGGCTCATGCCAGGACCAAAGACACACTAAAGGTAGCTTGCAAAGCAGAGGTGCCCAATTCTGTTCCTGGAAGACCATTATTCTACACTCTCAGAAATAAAGGTATGCAAGCTGTCACTGGGGTGGTACCTTAAAGGCCCATATTAATACCTCAATGGTACATATTAGTACCTAAAAAGTACAAAAGTGTTCCTCTTAATTTTTTTAGGTACTAATACATACTTTTGAGGTACCAATATGGACCCTTTAGGTACAAATGTGTACCTTTTGAAACGGTACCACCCCAGTGACATCTGGCGTACCTTTATTTCTAAGATTGTACAGTTTATTTCTGATTGAGCACACTTGAACCAGCTAAACAAGTCTTGAAGCATTCAGTTAAATCCAGTTGTTGCAAGTTGAAGCTTAACTCAACAGAAACTCCAGGATTAGGACCGGACACCCGTTCGTTTAAACCCTGCAGTCTCTAACCTTCAAAATAGGCCTTGAATCAGTGTTTTACCTCCCGGAGCTCTTTCGCCACGTCCTTGAGTTCAACGAGAACTTCCTCCAGCTGTTCCATGACCATCTTAATGTGCCTGCGGATCTCCGCTCGCCGGTCAGGGCTTCTGCTTGCTTCAGTCGGTCCTAGTGCTGAGCCGTGAAACATCCTTCACACGGGGAGGACAGCGGCAGCCAGGAGGGGACAGGACACCGGGCTTCATGTCTGAAGCCCACCACAGTGTTGTTTGACCCTATCTGAATGAAAGAACCATTCTCAGGTCTGGGCATCTTAGCATAGCTGTTTGAGGAAACGCTGATGTTAGGAAACTTTTCATTCAGTCCAGGAACGTCCAGTATCTCTCAATACGTTCAGAAAGGAAGAGAGCATCAAGAAAAAACGCAAAAAGTTTCAGCACTGAGACAAACTGCTCTCAGCAAAGCTTTGATCAATTCTGTATGATGTTAAAATTAAATCAAACAGCAGCATTTTCAATATGAAAGAGTCTTTGTTCTTGAGACAGCCGGAAAATAAATAAGTAAAACACCCTTTTGAGCTTTTATTTCGAGAGGTTCTTGACATGCCGAGCATCAGTCTACTACCTTAAGTGGGACATCTTTAAGTCCTTTCACTGACTCTCCACATCTACGTATGCATCCTCATCCAGGAGAAGAGCCTTCAGTGCTGAAGCCATCAGTACTTGATGTGAGGAATACATGTCTGCCAAAAAAAAAAGTGCACTGAGAATAGTAAGAACAAGTCACACTGCCAATCGAGCAAGAAAAAAAACGCATCCAACGTGACACCTGGGAGGAAGAGCCAGAAATTGCTTCACTCAGAAGTGATCCTGACAGATCCTGCAATGAAGTACCATCAATTGGAGACAGAGAGAGCTCCGGACATCCAATTCAAGACAAATCATGCAGAATATCTCAGTAGTTCTCTCGGCTTGTGTGGCTTTGGGTCCGGAAATGATGCCGTTTGGACTTATTGCTGCTCCATATGTCTATAAAAAGCTTCTGCAGAGTTGCCAGGCTTTTCCCACTGTGCCCCCGTAGCGTGCAGCATATCTCCTACCCCATGTGAGCAAGCACAGATAACGCTAGAGACGGACGCATGAACAACACCTCTCTTGCAATGTTGTCCTCTATCAGTCACTGATGCTCAAGTACTTAAGAAACCTCCCCCTTTCCTCTCTCTCTCTCTCTCTCCCTCGTTCACTCACCCTCAAACACTCGCATTCATTTTCTATGATCTCTCTTCCATAACTCCTCTTTCACACTCGCTATACGGTACACACACACTACCCTTTAGTCCGACTCGCGCTCATCCTGTCACTACTTCCGACGAACACATCAATTCACGCACACTTCCAAGCTAAGATCTTTTCAACCACAGTTGGGGAAGCAAATTAATTCGATTCAATGTTGCAGCGCAGGCTCGTGAATGCGTCGGCTCTGCAGCAATACACGCCGACCAGATTATCCCATTTAGATCGGTAATGAATAGAAGACACTCGCAAGTACATCAGGAAGCCGCTCGCCCTGCCGTGATTATGTGGAAGAGATGCTTCAGCCGCCTGCATTCATATTCCTGTTGCGCTCCTCAAAGCGCGCGTCGGCTGGGGGACTGTGTCAGCAAGTTTGAAATTCTAATTTACCTTTCTATAATGATTCCTCAAAACATCCTGAGAGGCTTGTCCCAAACAAAGGCCCTCATTATTTCTTGGGTACCTCTGGTGGGAGCTCTGATGAAAACTATCTGGATTTGCACAAAACAAGCAATTGTTGGAGCAGTGCATTCAGGCATGTGTGCCGAACAGAATAGCAGAAACCATCCGAGAGGAGACGCATTAAACAAAACAACCATTTGCGCGTCCAACTGTAATGACACCTCAAATCGCGAGACAGGTTGGGGAAGGAAAGGTGCGCTATTACTTTTTGGAGTGGTTGGCCAATTTTTTCCCCCTCGCAGATGAAAAACATCCGAGACCTGAGGGAGAATTTTGGTTTTCGATTTAGGTTGATAAGCAACCTCAGACCACCCTAGCCATGCATGGCAACCACCCAGAACAATCTAGCAACCGCAACCACTCTGAACATCAGGGGCCTCATGTACGAAGACTTGCGTTGAATTCATACTAAAACAGTGCGTACGCACAAAGCTGTAAATGTGCGTACGTAGTAAAAAATTCAGATGTATGAAACACTGCGTGCGCCGAATCTCACGCATATTCTTTTGTACATCTGAATGAACGTGAAACTGAGCGCAACATGCACGAGCGCAAAACCCCTCCCCCGTATTAATATGCTAATGACTCTACTTTTGCAAAACCCAACAAAAAAGCAATGGCAAAAGCCAGCAAAAAGATGAACTTTGAACAGAATGTGAATTGGAGGTCCTCCTTTCGGTGGTAGACCAGAGGAAAACGGTGTTATTTGCAAGTTTGTCCTCCGGAATTAACAACAAACGAAAAAAATTGAGTGGGAGAGTTTAGCTGATGCGGTTAACACAGTTGGGTCTGAACATCGCACTGAGTGGATTTAAAAAAAAAAACAGTGTGATTTATAGGTGTAAAATGTTGTAGTACTCCGAACAGTCTCAGTGGCGCAGCTCGTAAAACGTATATCAACATGTTTTGACACATTCGAGCATGAACTCGGTTCAAATCCAGCGTCTGATGAACCCATACTTCCTTTTTTCCCCGCTACATATCAGATTTTGACTACTATTTATCACGAGAAAGACAAGTAGGAATCATTAATAAGTCTGTGTATCATATTTTATTTGCACATTTATTGAATGGAAATGTTTCTGATTCACGAATGCAAATTCATCTTCAGATGGTGCTTTCATAACAATGTGCGTGCAGTAGATTGCTCCGATTACATTAGGAAAACAGGCGACCGCTGCCAATTGCTCTTTAATGTTTGGCTGGTCAACTGTATGGTATGGAAACCTTATATACCTGCTAGATGAACCCGTCTCATACAGCTGCCATTGCAAGGCTCAGACACTTTGTAGAGAGCAATTTAACACAACTGCCTCTAGGAGTCGCCAATGGGAATAAAACAGGCACGCACAAAAAATGTGCGTACGCCAGCCATGAAGCTTGCGTGGAGCTGCGCACATTCTCACGTTCATTTCATCGTTAGTAAATCCAAACGTGAGCCATTCTGAGCGTGAAACCTGGCGTACGAAAAGTTTTTGTGCGTACACAGTGTTGATACATGAGGCCCCTGATGTTTGAAACACTTCATCCCACGCATATTCTTTTTGTACATCTGAAAAAGCGTGAATCTGAGCGCACGTGCACGAGCGCAAAACCCCTCCCTGCCTCCTCCCCCTAATAAATATGGTAATGACTCTACTTTGGCAAAACCAAATGAAAAAGCAATGGCAAAAGCAAGCAAAAAGAGAACAGAATATGAATCGCAGATGCTCCTTTGGGAGGTAGACGGGAGAAATATGGTGTTATTTGCAAGTTTGTCTTCCGGAATTAAGAACAAAAGAAAAAAAATGAGCAGAGGTGGCCAACCCTGTTCCTGCAGAGCCACCTTCCTGCAGATTTCAGTTGCTACCCATATCAAACACACCTGAACCAATTAATTAGGACCTGAACACCACGTGATAATTACAGGCAGGTGTGTTTGATATGGGTTGCAACTGAAATCTGCAGGAAGGTGGCTCTCCAGGAACAGGGTTGGCCACCCCTGAAATAGAGTGTGAGAGTTTAGCTGACGCGGTTAACGCAGTCGGGTCTGAACATCGCATTAGGAGTGAATTAAAAAAGAAAAGGTCCGATGTAAAGGTGTACAATTTTGTGGTTTCTATTTAGGCTGGGTGCAAATAGCACATCTCGTTGGAATGAGCTAGTTTAGTGATTCCCGTTTGATCAACAGAGACAACCAAACTAAAGAGAGCGGGCATCAGCAGCGTGAGCGGCGTAGCTCGTAAAGCGAATGGCAACATGTGTTGACGCTATCAATCATGAACCCGGGTCTAATCCAGCATCTGATGATCACATACTTCTTTTTTCCCCGCAATACTTGTCAGATTTTGCCTAATCTACATCACGAGGAAGACAAGTAGGAATCATTAATAAGTGTGTGTATTATGTTAAGCATCACATATTATTTGCACATTTATTGAATGGAAATGTTTCCGATACACGTATGCAAATTCGTCTTCAGATGTCGCCCTTATAGCAATGTGTGTGCAGTCGATCGCTCTGATTAGATTGGGAAAACCGGCGATCGCTGCAAGTTGCGCTTTATTGTTTATGTGGTCAACTGCATGGTATGGAAACCTTATATACCTGCTAGACATGCGGATGATCCCGTCCCATACAGCTGCCATAGCACGGCAGCTACTTTGTAGTGTGCAATTTAACACAACTGCTTCTTGGAGTCACCAATGTAAATAAAACAAACACACACAAGAAATGCACGTACGCCAGGCATGAAGTTGGACCAACGCACATTCTCACATTCATTTCATCGTTAGTAAATTCAAACGTGAGCATGAAATCTGCCATATGCAAAGTGTTTGTGCGTACGCAGCGTTGATGCATGACGCCCCAGGGGCGTTGCTAGACAGAAAGCTCTACTGGGGCACAGTTCCCCCTCCAAAACAAAATAAAATAAAAATAAATATTTATAATATATTTTAAAGTATATTAAATTATAAATAAATAACAGTTTTGTTATTAGACAATTATTTTTCTAAAAAAAATAACAGAGGCGACGCAGTGGCGCAGTTGGTAGTGCTGTCGCCTCACAGCAAGAAGGTCACTCTTGGTTGAAACCTCGGCTGGCTCAATTGGCGTTTCTGTGTGGAGTTTGCATGTTCTCCCTGTGTTTGCGTGGGTTTCCTCCAGGTGCTCCGGTTTCACCCACAGTCCAAAGACATGTGGTACAGGGGAATTGGGTTGGCTAAATTGTCCATAGTGTATGAGTGTGTGTGTGTGTGTGTGTGTGTGTGCGTGCGTGCGTGCGTGCGTGCGTGTGTGAATGAGTGTATGTGGATGTTTCCCAGAGATGGGTTGCAGCTGGGAGGGCATCCGCTGTGTAAAAACTTGCCGGATAAGTTGGCGGTTCATTCTCCTGTGGCGACCCCGGATTAATAAAGGGACTAAGCCCACAAGAAAATAATTGAATAAATGACAGAAATGTAACTGGAAACATCAAAAGACACAACCGGAGTGATGCTAAGATAATTTAAGACATATTTTGCATGAACGATCATTTAATTACAATGAAATTCTATAGATAATTCAATAGAATTTCATTCAATAGAATTCAAAAATTAGGTTTCTTAGATTTATCTGTTGTGTGCTGTCTAAGACCCGACTCATGGCCGAGAAATAGCTTTATTAAGTCTTACCTCCTTGACTCATCATCCCTCCTTTTTGCTTCATAACAAAAAAATCTATCAGGAGCCATGCTTAGTATGAATAAGATCACCATCATAGTATTTAAACTTTGTTTTGTCGACTTGCAAAACTTCCTGCGTGCCGACACCTCCACATAATAGACTGTTACGCCGATTTCACAACGCATGAGCGGCGTCGCTATTTTTTTGCCGTGTATGTTCACAACCAGGGCTTACACCAGGAGCAAAGCAGGAGCAGTGCAAGGCATGCGGGCATGTTTTTTTCCTGCGCACATGCTCAGTTAGCTTTTTGATTAAACTACATTGCTTTCATCAGCGTTGGTTTGGTTGCACATAGAGAATAACGTCTTTATTCTGGGATTACCACTCTTAATAAACACACTTGCAAATAAAGTAAATAGTATATAACAGCATTTACTGGGGCACTGGCGATTTTTACTGTGGCACGTGCCCCTGCTGAACACCTTAGCAAACACACAGCGATACCCTCACAACTACTGCATCGCACAGAATTAGCACATTCAAGAACTACTCACATCTGACTGGTGACTTTATTAGGTGCACATGTCCAATTGCTTGTTAACGCAAATTTCAGCCAATCACATGGCAGCAACTCAATGCATTTTGGCATGTAGACATGGTCAAGAAGATGAACTGCTACAGTTCAAACCGAGCATCAGAATGGGGAAGAAAAGTGAGAGGAGAATGGCCAGACTGGTTCGAGCTGATAGAAAGGCATCAGTAACTCAAATAAGCACTCGTTACAACCGAGATCTGCAGAAGAGCATCTCTGAAAACACAACACGTCCAACCTTGAGGCAGATGGGCTACAGCAGCAGAAGACCACACCGGGTGCCACTCCTGTCAGCTAAGAGCAGGAAACTGAGGCAACAATTCACACAGGCTCACCAAAATTGGACAATAGAAGATTGGAAAAATGTCTTGATTTCCGCTGCAACATTAGGATGGTCGTGTCAGAATTTGGCATCAACAACATGAAAGCATTGATCCATCCTACCTTGTATCAATGGTTCAGGGTGGTGGTGTAATGGTGTGGGCGATATTTTCTTGGCACACTTAGAGCCGA